GTATCGTAGTGTAATATAGAAATTCATGATTTTTTTACTCGAAAAATATCAACTTTTGGAAAAATTGTTGTAGAACAGAAAGTGCTTAGAATTGGTCGAGGAACACGTGTGAATTTTTACTAAATAATTTGGAAAATTTTTGGAAAATTGAAAATTTGAATTTCCCGAAAATCCAAAAATATTTATATTTTTTTTGGAAGTGCTTATTTTTGCCAATTTTAAGTAAATGTATGTGTTATAACATTTTTTAATAAGTATTTTTCATTATTTTGAGCAGAAGAGTTCTATAATAGTTCATTTTTAGAAATATTTGTTTACTTCAAATTACTAATTTTACATATGTTATGAATAAAGGCCTTGGCCGTAACACATTACTATGCAAGTTTTAAAAAATAATAATAATAAACTTCAGTTTTAATTTATAAAAATCAATTACAAAAATATTATAATCTTATATCTATTGTCGATATTTTTTTGTAGCATTTGCTATTTTGAAAAATGTAATTCGAGTTACCCCTGCAATTTTACTACAGCGATATTTTGAAAGCCTTTTAGAAGGGATTTATTTCAAACAAAATTTCTTTTTGTGTGAAAGTATATATTCAAAAAATTTAGGATTTTATTATTGTCGTATGCCGTGTAGTTTATCAACTTAACATTTTTAGTTTGAGGTGGTGAGATATCCAACCATTTCATTCAAATATTTTGTAAACCTTAAAAGGCAATTACTTATAATTAAGTTTTTTCTTTTTAATTTTGGTTTTCTCAAATAATTGCTGGTATTATGTCTGGAAAAAAACGCATTTTACCTCAAAGGAAGGTGTAATAAAAATAAAAAACAAATTGCATTTTCAAGTGAATCTTGTGAAGTGTCTGAAAATGATGACACAGTAGATGTTGTTATGCTACCACATCCTGAGAGTTCAGATTCAGAATCTGAAAACGAATCTAACAATTCTGAAAATGTTAGTGATGAAGATAATGATGACGAAAATGAAGATAATGCTGATGAAAATGACGACGCTGTTGATGAAAACGATGTTCAAGAAATTGTTGAAAAATTGTTATCGTACCATAAAATTAAAAAAAGTTACTCTAAAACTCAGAAACGTTTGCAAGAAGATCATGTATACGATTGGACAGATGGAGAGAAAAAGTATGATGAAATTCCATCTAATAAATATTTGTTAAAAGATAAAGATCGTAAAATGATTGCTAATAGTACCCCTGTTGAATTATTTGAAATGTTCTTTTGTAAAAATATAAGAGAATATATCATTGAAGCTTCAAAATTTAACGGTTTAGATATAACAATAGGAGAACTAAATAAATTTGTTGCCATTATTATTCTTTCTGCGTTCAACAAAAGAACATCTGAAAAAGATTATTGGTCCAAAAATGAGTTACTCGAGTCCCCAGTAGTTAGATCATTGATGTCGTTGAAAAAGTTTTTGAAAATCAAATCAAAAATCAAATGCTCCAAACCTACAGATAAAAATAAAAAAAATCGTGCTTGGAGAGTTAGAGCTATATTAGAAATTTTTAGGAAAAATATAAAACAGTTTGGTTTTTTTCAGACAGGATTATCAATAGACGAAATGATCATTAAATTTTTTGGTAGACTGTTGATCAAACAATTTATAAAAAATAAACCAACTCGATGGGGAATAAAAGAGTTTGGAATTTGTGGTGCTGATGGATACCACTTTGACTGTGACATATACTGTGGCAAAGGCACTCATAATGATGAATTGTCAAGTATTGCTCTAGGAAGCCAAGCTGTTTTATCTATGAGCGAAGCTTTACTTTCATCAATTTCTAGAAAGAAAATTGAAGAATACCATCTTTGGTTTGATAATTACTACACAAATCCAGACTTACTTGTTCATTTAAAAAAGCTTGGCTTACGAGCTACTGGTGTAATTAGGAAAGATCGTATACCAGTAAAAAATGAAATTGATAAAAAAGCTCCTCGTGGAACTTGTAAAGTTCAATATGAAAAAAATAGCGGAATGAACCTCGTAACCGTGGTAGATTCTAAACAAGTTTCGATTATTTCAACTACAGCTGGTGTTACACCAACAAAAGAAGTGAAACGCTACTCCAAAGAAAAAAAAATAAGAACTGACATTTCTATGCCACTTGTGTTTTCACTTTACAACTTATTTATGGGAGGTGTTGACCTACACGATCAGTACTGTAGTGCTTTATTACCTATTATTAGAAGTAAGAGATGGAATTGGCCAATATTGATGAGAATTATCCAGTCTTCTATTGCAAATGCAGTAATACTCTATAATGCTTGTTCAGGCAAAAAAAAGTAAGCGCAAAGAAATTCGCTTTGAGTATTGTAGATAGTTATGTCAAAAACGCTAAATTAGGTGATTTGAAAAACCACAATTTGAGCCTAACTATCAGAAGAAGAGCTTGCAATGGACAAGGATGTGTTACTCGTACGTGTAACGGGGGCAGTGCCTTATTCGGCACTGACGTCACTAATTTATTAACGGGAGAGTAAGAGAGGCACTTTCGCTCTTTAGCAATCGGGGAACGAGAGGATAGGTCGAACGAATAAATAATTTTCTTTACTTGGAACATACAACTTAAATCTATTCAGATAAACAAATACAAAATCGGTTACAATAAAGTTTACATCACGCGCACATATACAGAACAACTTAAACTATCGCGGGAGGACGAATGGCCCGGCGACTAAATCGCCTTGGCCATTTACCTCCTTACAAAGGAAAGAATACGTCGAAACCTCTCTACCGCATTACGATGAGCGTAGCCGGCAAGTGATCGCCTGGCTACCTATCGTTCCTACGCGGCCGCGCATCACCATGAGAGAGAGAAATACCGGGAGAGAGAGATAACCTGACCTTTGTCCTTGGCGATGAGCCGGCAACGGGAAGTTGACCTGGCCGCTGGCTGGACGTCTTCCTCGGCGTAGCCCGTGGTGAACCCACTGGAAGTCATGCCGTGCATGGCGGCGAGGGCGACACTGAATGCCCTGCTGCAGGTGTTGCCGCCACACGTTGCCTTGGCTCGCCCTGGTCTGGTCACTGCTGCACGTGTGCTTCTTCTTCTCTCATTGCGCTGCTACTTCCAACTTCTCTCCTCAACTTTCTTCCGGGAACTGCCTCACGCGACTTGACGCATGGTCAGCGTTCGCGCTCTCGCCGGGCTCTCCCACCAAGCCCACTCATTAGGCGGCGTGCGACAAAAGCGCTAATTGGTCGCGCGTCACACGCCGGCCTAAACCTGCATAGTACGTGCATAGACGCGCACTCTAGCATGCTCGCTAACTTTCTCTCTTTCTCTCTCTCTCTCTCTCTCTCTCTCTCTCTCTCTCTCTCTCTCTCTCTCTCTCTACCTCATAGTCGCTGCGCTCTTGCTTCTTCGGGCGCTCTCAATCTTGCTCGGCAATCTTCGGCGGCTGGAAAAACATAAAGGCCAGTGGTTAGGCGCAATAAATATATGCGCCGAACGCTGACCACGTTGCCATGCCGAGTGATAAGAGGGAGAGAGAGAAGGAGGGCAGACGAGGAGCAAGCGTACTGCTTGCTCTCGTCACATACGTTTTATATGTGCAAAGAGTGTAAAAAGTATTATTGTAGTCAATGCTTTGCTAATTTACACAAGTAAATAATTGGTAACAAATGATTGTCAAAAAGAAATATTTCTAAAAACAAAAATTAAATACAAAAAAATACAAAAAAACAAAAATTACAAAATACAAAAATACAAACAAAAATACAAACAAAAAAACTATTAAAGTGGAGATTTTTTAATTTAAAAAATTTTATTTAGCTGCGTAAATTCGCAAAACTTGGATTGTATTTCCGTTACATTTTCGGTTGAATTCAAATACATACCAGCCATAAAATCACTAAGAATTGTCAAAAAAACATGTTTAGAGAGAAACTTAATTATAAAATTTTTCAAAAATTTTCAATTTTTTATTTTTAAAAAAATTTTCAAATTTCAAAAATTCTCACGTGTTCCTCGACCAATTCTAAGCACTTTCTGTTCTACAACAATTTTTCCAAAAGTTGATATTTTTCGAGTAAAAAAATCATGAATTTCTATATTACACTACGATACAAAAACCGCCATATTTTTTTTCTAATCAACATTTTTTAATAAAGTTGAATGCGCTTGAAAGATATTGTCCCATGTCGCGAAAAAAATTATTTAGGGAGACTATTGTAGGGTTCATTTCTTTTCAGCAGAGCGAAATTTGGAGAAAAATTGAAAATATTTGGATGTTTTTCGAAAAAATCGGCCATATTTTTTTTTCTGTCAAGATTTTCAAAAAAACTTGGTGATTTTTGAAAGAGCATACACTAAAACATAAGGAAACCAAATTTCATCCAAATCTATTAAGAATTGTACGAATGGCATAACGTCAAATCGAAGCATTGCAGCCATGGACGTTTGCCACTTAATGGGTTAACAAGGTGCTATCATCCGGGCCAGGTGAGCCTTGGTTTTTTAACGAGGTTGATACTCCCCCCCCCCTCCTCCTACCCTACTTCTTGCGTAGCGGGGCCCCGGGCTAGGGACCGGCAGTGGCGGAGTGCGTGTGTGTGTGTATGTGTGTGTATGTCCTGATGAGTGGTTGATCACATCCGCAAGTCACCACTATCCTTGCATCATATGTGAGCCAGTGCTTCCTTTTAGCTGTGTCCGTTACGGCGTTGCTGCTAGGAGCATTGACGCGACGGACACGTTTCCGCAGAGCACGACGAGGACGTAAGAAGTTGGCATTTGCCTATCGAGGGGGCTAGCACTCACCGGGCCAGCTCTCCTCTGTGTGTGTGTGTGTGTGTGTGTGTGTGTGTGTGTGTGTGTGTGTGTGTGTGTGTGTGTGTGTGTGTGTGTGTGTGTGTGTGTGTGTGTGTGTGTGTGTGTGTGTGTGTGTGTGTGTGTGCATATATAATTGCTAGCTAATAAATAATCCTGTTATAACTACTTATTATTATATTTTATTTCAGGCAAAGACTTCGGTCTATTTTTATCAGATGAAGATGCCAAAAAAGGTGTTTGGCTTGAGTCGCGCAGGAGTTTAGATTACTATTTATTAAGAAATGGCGATCTTCTGGAATTTCGGAAAAAATTACGAACTTTGAGGGTGCGAATGCTCGATGGAACTTTAAAAACTATTTTAGTTGATGACAGCCAATCTGTAGCAAATTTAATGGTCGTCATTTGTACTAGAATTGGAATTACTAATCATGATGAATATTCACTTGTTAGAGAAGTCGAATATGAAGAATTAGAAAATCAAAGGCCTGGAAATTTTGGAACATTAACTTTGAAAAAAAAAAAAGAAGAAAAAGGAGATAGAGATATTAAAATGGATCAGTTACGAAAAAAATTAAAGACTGATGATGAAGGTAATTTATTTCAATAGCATGTGTATATGTTTGAAATGAAAGATGTGTTCTGAAGTATTTACCCTGTTTGTGTAAATACTCGATATTTTAATCATCACCAATGAGATCTAACTACTTAAATAATGTATATATACTCGAACCTCGATAATTCGAACAGCAAGGAACGGAGGCAAAAGTTCGAATTATCGCGGTTACGTAAACGTACAGAAATTTGGTTATTTTATCTATTTACACAAATATGCATGTACACATACATATAAACTTAATCAGGTTTATTTATTTGAATAAATTTATGGAATTTATGTAGTATTATGATTTATGAGAAACTTTGTTCAACGTTTGAAGACTTGTTAATCCTTAAAAGGACCGATTATTTACGTAAATAAAAAAAATATTCCAAATAAGTTTTTTTAACGTTTAAATAATTGTTGGTCTTGAAAAGGACCTATTGTTTAGAATTTAAATAGAGTAAAATTTAAAGCTTTTTCGAATTATCTTCTTGTAAACAAATCTAAAATGCAGGACTGCTTCAAACTGCCAACTTTTTCTTTTCCTGAAAATTACACGAAGTTACTGATCATTACAAAAATTTCTTCACTGATTTTTACCGTGATTCAACAAACTTCCTTGTTAGAAATTCCAAAGCTTCACCAGATGTTGGAGATATTTCGGACCAAAGTTGTTCTTGATCTTCTTTTATTTCGGCAGATATTCCGAACCAAATTTTTGTTTTGTTTCATTCAAAACATTGCTGTCCGTAAGTTCACCGCGAACAGTGGTAAACTTACAGATGAAATCGTCGTCCAGCTTTACATCTTCGCTAATATTCTCTCTGAAAGCTAAGATACTTTATTTATTATCACTAAAACCTGTTCTGGGAAATAGATTTTTAATCGTTTTGGAGCTGACTTGATGCCACGCATCGATGCATATTCTCATGACTTGTAAAACATTAATTTTTATGTTGTTGTTGTTGTTCAAGGCACCACGTTTATCAAGTATGTCTCGAACTAGAATGGAGCGATATTCAACTTTGAAAGAATTTATAATGGTTTGGTCCATAGGTTGAAGAATCGACGTCATGTTAAGAAGGAAAAATACAACTTCAATATTTTTCAGTACAGGAATCAATCTGTGTGAGTAGATAAGCAATGTATATTTCAAGACAGATTTGTCCCTAGGAACTAGGCCCTATGCTTAAGCATATGTGATGGTCGTGTCCCCTTTTATTTATATTATTATTCGTACTCTCGTGGTCTATCGCGTTAATGAGTAAGAATTTGTTTCAATTTTCAAAAATGCTTCTAAATATTAACTTTGAAATAAAATAATAAATGAATATGTATGATTATATGAGTTAGATTCGAAGGAAAGTCAGACTTTGCCCTAGTTTCTTATGGTGCGAATTGTCCCATAAGCAGAGCTAAATCTTTCTTATAAAGGATATAATTTAGCCCAAGTTTCTTATAGCATGAAACGTTCTATAAGTCAAGCATGAATTATAGTAAAGGAGAGGATTTGCTTAGTTGATTACAATGAGAGAAAGAACTTAGGTATTGATCAAGTTTATTCAATCTCATGCGCTCACTTTGCAAGGCTTGGAGTGAATGCCAGCCTATGCAATAATCAGCGTATTTATACATAGATTTTCCCGTCTATTATCGCAGGAAACTTCTCTTCGAGAAGTTTTCGAATCTTCCAGAAGTTATTCGCAAATTTTGAGAAATGAATTGTCTAAATTTACAAGTAAATAAACATTAATACTAAAGTTTTAAAACATGTAAACTTTACAAAATTAGTTATTGGTTGTTCTATTTTAGTGTAATTTACAATGATCAAAAGTAGTATCGTCAAAAGTTATTAACTAATAAAGTTATTTAATGCAATATTACAATATTTACAATAAAACAATATTAAACTTTTACATAACTTTATAGTTTATTAATTTTAGAAGTAATTTCTAAAAATAAATACTCAAATGAGTTAATAACATTTGAATTATAACAAATTTTCATATTTGTAACGCTTTTTTCTATAATCTTATAATGTAATTACTAGATTAATTATTTAAGATTTATAAATTATAAAGCTATCATTATTATGTATAAAATTAACGCTTTCGTTCTATATACAACTTAATGTTTAAATAAATTATTGATTTTTTATTTATTAATAACAGTTATAATTAAACTGTTATTAATGAAACCAATTCTTACTCATGTTTTTAAGATATTTATTATGAATTTGGAGTATTAGCATTTTTCTAATAATTAATATTTATAATGTAATAAACAAATTAACTTTGCATATTAAAATTTAATATTATTTAATAATTAAACGCAGTTAGAATTATTATAATCTAAATCTATGTACTAAAATCTAAATAAAAAATGCTTTGTTTCATCAAAATTACTTTTAATTAATATATTTTATTCAAATAATAAAAACTATTATATCTATATCTATAAGTTTGTGACGTCACGCTGCTTATATGGTCATGAATTGAGACTCTTGTACTAAGACAATCAAATAATAGATGAGGTGGCGCCGTTTAATGTACAAAGTGATGTAAACAGACTTATTAGTTTAACGGGTTGCAGTGATTCAGTGAAATAATAAACTAGCTCATAGATAGGACCGTTACACATATATGTATGTTTCAGGACAGATTTTTCTCTAGATTTTTGATATTTAGAATTAATTTATGGAGAAATTTATTTATTTTTTAGAGGAACTAGGGACCCTGATGTATAGCGTCGGTCGCTTACCTATGCTTAAGCATGTATGTATGTTTCAGAACAGATTCATCCCTGGGGACTAGAGACTCTAGTGCTCTCGTTCTGGTAGTTTTTAATCAGTAGAATTAAGTTATAGACAGATTGATTTAATTTTAATTATTATTTCAATTATTCAATTAAACGATGGATATAGAAAAAATGTTTCGTCACTTGTTTGGCTGAGCTACATTTTTTTTTCAAAAAAATGAATGGAAATCGAACTAGCGTTCTCTGGGTCCACAGGCCGACGCTCTACCATTGGGGCCACTGCAACGTATAGCTTGTATACTCAGTGTATATACTAGCTATATATTTGGTATAGGGCCCGAGGGCGTGATGGTGGTGGGGTGCGTGCGCTCTCTATAGTTATAGCTGCGAGTAGTTTGGAAGCGCGTACTCTCTCTCGTTCTGATTCAGCGTGGCTTGATAGAGCCTAGTTCTTTGATTAGTAGAATTTATAGATAGATTAATTTGGAGATGGAAGGGAACGCTACTCTCTCTTGCAGAGGGATTGCGGTTTCCCGTTCAGCCACCAATACCTTTAAGGCGCTACTGCTATCCTAGATGAGGACTAGAGACTGTTGTCTCAGTCTCTAGACTGATCCCGTCTTAAGACGTTGCATGCTTCTTCCTCATCTAAAATTCCTTAGTTAGATGGACTATAGCGCTCTCTATTTCTATTTGACTTGGATTGAGTGATAGTTCTTCATAAGACTCGTTAAGCCAACATTTTTAGCTTTCTCTATTCTAATAGCATGTATCTCATATCGTATTACCTCAAATAAATGGCAGATGGCGTTATTAACCATTTTAATTTTTTCTACTGCATCGCTATTTTTCTTAGTTAATCGACCACATATACGAATCATACTGCGAGATGGAAGTAAAGATAAATCCTGATGTTGAATTCCAATACGTACTTTATGATTATTACTGTAATGCGATAAAGAATAAGGTTGATATATATGAATTTCATAATGAGTTATCGACTCATCGAATGTTTAGAATTTCGTTCATTTTGCTGTAAACAACACACTAATATGCTAATATACTTTCCACCACGAGGACGATTTTCAATAACATTTAGTTTTAAACTTTTTAGAAACTGAATGTTGCGACATGTGAGCATTGAGATAGCTTGAATGATCACTACTTGACATTTCGATTTATTAATATACACTCGTCCACTCTTAACATTCTCTTTGTTGTATATAATACCCATTATAATAATATAGCTTTTATATGCAATCGTACAGTGATAATTCCTTCATGAAAATTTACTAAATTCCTATCTTTATCAACAAATACATATCTGTTAATGATTAATGCTTCTCAGGGTGACGGGAAGGTAAATGAAGTGTGACAGAACGTCTGTAATCTTATATCGTGGTTATATGGCTGAAAAAAATTCATGTATAGTGTGCACTTTACGTTCGTTTACAAAAGCACTCGTAGTAACGTTACACTCTACACGTAAAGCGTTCATTTTTAGTATAGTCAGTGGTAAATCAGAACTATGCGTTTCGTTTGCGTTAAGTTTACGTGAAGTGAAGCTTAAAATTGATCCGATACAATCCTTCGGTTCAAAATTTATTTCGCGACTGCATTTAATAACACTACGTAAAGTATTGTTATTTGGTTTCAGACTAAATGATATATCCGTCGGTATTAAGACTTCTTTGAGACAACTTTCTATCTCATAACTACCAGTTAAGGTATAAAATAAAGTCGGTAAAATGATTTCTTCTTGACCTTTAATATAAAATTTATTATTACCAACATCAATGTTTGGTATCGAGTTGAATGCCAGTAACTCTACTAGACCAAGTAAATACTTTTATTTGGTATTAGTTCAATTGGCGGAATATAATTTTCTTTGAGGACGGATGATGTTCCTGAGAGACTCAATGTCAGTGTATTTTCCATGGCGATCGTAGAACAAAAGACTTTCATTCTGAAATATACATGTTTTTATCCTACAGTGTATTTGAAAGAAATTTAAGGCAAAGATGACATCCATTATAGGTTTTTTTGATATTTAACGTAATTATACTTAATTTTATCAACTTCGAGATAAAGTAATACATTTATGGGAGGTTAAAGGTCACCAAAACTATCAAAGTATATAACCTCATCTCCACTCTTTTTGTAGACTACCCATTGAGTACCTGTACCATTTTTATCATCTAAATTCACAATAGCCGACTGTTGATAGCAAGGTCC